TCAAGAGAATCAAGAGACTGAATTAAACTTTATATGTACAAAAATTTCAATTTATCTTATAATGACCGCATACCGGAGCAATTAAACTCCTTCTGTTGACGGCTTCTCATGAGTCAGTCCGTTAATCTTAATAACTATTACATGCAAATTTTTAAAGACACGACCTCAAGAGTTAAAAAGGTTAAATCTGTCCTAAAACTGGCTAGGGAAGAAAAAATACATCCTAGAGAAAAAGGATCTTTGAAAGACATAAAATTGCTAATTGTAATATCAAACACAAATTTTAATGTCAACATGCAGAAATAATTAAAAGATAGTACATTCCTCTGGAAATCTATCGTCAGTTTTAACCAAAACGAATGTATTGTAATTATTAAAACATCACCAAAGTAATAACTGATGATATTGATTTGAAATGTCAACTCTCTTGAGATTCACTATTATGAGAAGTTTTTCCAGCCAAAGATTTTTTTTACTAATAATAATCAGGTGACTAAATGTAATAAAATTGTGAGTTTTAATTATAATGGCTTGTCGTACAGTATTAATTGCTGTTGGCTATTTTACCTTAACATGTAAAATTAAATATATTGCTGGATTTAATACAAGTTGCTTCATTATTTTTTCATTTTTACATATTTGTTTACAAACTACAAATAATAGTGTACCCTGAGAAAATTCAAAGTAACCGTTTGTCACCCTAAAAATTGAAAATTAATAAAGAAAGAAATTAATAAATTACAAATAAGGTGAACTAGGTTATTATTAATTAATCCATATATATTTAGCGGTCAAAACTGACCAATAGTTATTTCAATTAATCTATTAGCACAGCCAGTACAAGCGGACCCAGTTTATAAGGGAAAATCTTAATTTATCCTCAATACAAAAGATCGCATTTCCGGTCATGACGTCATTGAAAAAAATGTTCGAATCTCAAACATTAGGGGATTTAGCAAAATTTTGACAAAATTAATTAGTCGAAAGCGTTGAAAATTAGGATTATTTAAAGATTAATATCTGTTTATCTTTAAATAATCCTTAAATAACGGTCACTAAATATAACACGTTGAAAATTATATTTTACAATTAATTATTAAAACTTGATTATTGGAAGAGGAGTGAGAGTAATTATCATAAATGATTTTCTCTAAGGAGTTAGATGTGAAGAAATAACAATCTTACAAGAAAGTTTGCCTTTCTTCAACTAATGCTGCCTTTAGGTATACATCTTCAGATAGCCTAAAATTACCAAAACTGAAAATTACTGCGAAATGATCAATGAGGGTCCCGCGAATCTGCTCAGAATTGATAATTAATATTTTATTTATATTAGAAAAGTGATTAGTGACCGTTAGTCGATGATTATTCGGAAATCGTGAGATGCGGTCTGGTGTGATGTAGGCTTCAGTAAAACATTTTCTTTGTCGTGCCAACGTTTCGATCTTCATTGAGATCATCTTCAGGGCCTGGGATTTGCAAACATTGCTTAAATTTAACAAATACATGTAGGATGTGGAAAAAAGTGAATTTATACACTGCAGAAAAAATATTTTTTATATTCAATCAAAAATACGCAGAAAACAAACACTTCGAGTGAGTAGAAGTACTTTGATTGAATATAAAAAATATTTTTTTGCATTGCATAAATTCACTTTTTTTCCACATCCTACATGTATTTGTTAAATTTAAACAATGTTTGTAAATCCCAGGCCCTGAAGATGATCTCAATAATGATCGAAACGTTGGCACAATAAAGAAAATGTTTTTCTGAAACCTACATCACACCAAACCGCATCTCACGATTTCCGAATAATCATATTACAAACCTTAGTTTAACTAACAATGGTGAAATGGATAAAGCAAGAATCTAGCTAAAATAACTGCATTTTTTTACTTTTCATGAGTCCCATAAAATAATGGGGATGGTTAAGTTTACATTCTGTTTCTGCTAGTGTTTAATGTTTATGTTTAAATTGTTAAATTTAAACTAATTTTCTCCTTGCGTTTTCGGCTCTGAAGATGAGTGGCTAGACATCAGGATAATGAGTGAATTGTTTTGGTTTTCTTCTCCCCCTCAGCCCTGACCCATCTCCACCAAAATCCAAAGAATTACAAACTTTCGGCCATACACATTTAACTTATAATGAATAGATCATTTCTGCAAATTTGACTAGAGTTTTCTTGTAATGGCACAGATATTGAAGAATTAGTTTTTGTAAAGTTAACTAAAAAAGCTGTATAGTCACTAGGGAAGGGATAATTTTTGTTCAATAATAAGTGAAGAATGAGAACAGTAATTTGTCAAATCCTTGTTTAAAAAATCCCTCGGCTACATTTACAAATCAATACCCCTTTCAAAAACAACCAAAATAGGTTGTAAAAATACGTTTAAATTATGTAATTAGGCGATATATAAAAAAATGGGTTACAAATAAATTTAAAGCTTTTCCACATATTTGCCGCACGGTTCCTTGGTTAAATCGGTCATGGCAAACTCCTCACAGACATTCATTCGTAATGCCAGGAGGTAAATGTTGATGAGCGTTTAGGTTCGTTGTTTTATGATCTTTATCCTTCGGGGAAAAAAATCGTTTGGCATCCGTCCAATGACGAAAATGAGTAATCTCTATGTCAATTATCAACTTGGTGATGGGAAGGGAAAAAAAAGGAAAATCCACTTCTTTCTTTCTTCCGGCGGTGCCCAAATTTGGAAATTTGGCACGCCTGGCATTTCCAGCATGTCATGTCCAGAAATACGCGGCCGGCCGATGAGATCTGGGCAGCTACTATGAAGGGGGGCCCCAAGTTCATCGCCGTGCCATCTATCGGTGCCTTGGAACAGCTATGCTCCCCTCCAGCTTGATAAAATAAACTAGGGGACGGTAGGAAATACGTCTGAAAGACTTCAAAGTTCAGACGCCAACCTTAAAGATAATTTCAATGTTTTAATGTATTGAATGTCATAGGGGATAAAGCTTTCTTATAAACCTCTACTCTCGTCCAACAAAAATACTGCGCAATTCAAAGGACAACAACAGTTTCTACAATTTTTTATTATTAAATATTAATAAATATTTAATATGAATTGAACTAAACTAACATTGTCCATGTTGGATATTTTGGCCATACTCTCTGAAACCACGTAATATTTAAACGTGTGCAAGCTAAAAATTTCATGGACAGTGACAAAAGTATACCACGAAGAGAGCAGTATAAGAAAGAAAGAAAAAGATTTCGGGTTTTGAAACGAAACGGTAAGGGAACAAATAAATCAAATCTACATAGAAAAAGGTGAAGGAAAATTTAAAGTTCAAAAACCCAATAAACTAATTCATTTCACATGCCTTAACACATACACAAACAAAACTGAATTTGAACAAAAACAGATATATTTATATGTAAATGTACATTCACATCTAAGATCTCATGCTTTTTTTAGACAACAAAACGGGATTTCGCCTCGGAATGGCGAGCCGGGCAATAGTAACACCAGATGTTTACCGGAATATGACACGTTCCCACTTGGTTCTTACGAAGGGGGGCTTTAACAAGTCAGAAAAATGTCCTTCTTTCAGTATACCGACTATTTTCTTTAATAACTTTAACCACTTTTGCGAAAATCGCTACGCGGAGGAGAAAACTCCTACGGTTCAGAATTTAAATGGTGTGACCGAGACTGGTCCTGCCTTCACATATTTAGAACCGTCAATGGTTTCCAGGTAGAAACCCCGGTTACAAACGCGGGCGCGAGTCGACAACAAAAAATATGTCGCTTTCGAATTGGGTTCACTATAAAGACAACATTGAATAGTGCAAGGGTCGTACAAAAACAAAAGGTTTACGGAGTGTCGACGACAAACAGTACTGAAAAAGCAGGGATTTTATGGGATCGTAAATTAAATCGGAATTCAAAAGCGTACCGACAGAGCGCTCCTGTGTTTAAATACTTAAAAATTAAGGAAAAATGCATTTTTTAGGTAAAATTTATATTTAAAAAAAATCGAAAACGTTTAGCGCTTGTATGACATATAACTCATATGACAATACACCATAATAAATAAACAAACATCAATCCAAAATATATAATAATAAATTAACCAATTTGGAATTTATTTTTCAATATATTTGCTTTATCGAGCTTTAATGCACGATCGTGCCCTTGGCATAGAAAATGCAGAGGTTCAAAGTTGATCCCGTGCATGCGGTGTCGTCATTCTTACACTGCTCGTAAAACTTATTACGGCAGCAATAAAATCCGTCTCGTGGTAAATTTAGAGCAAAACAAGAGGGGCCGAACGGAGAAAAATACAAATCACGACTATCACGTACCGTTAAACACTTGACTCGCTACTGTTTTCACTGCTGTCAACTCAACGTCTCTCGGTACTTAATTTATATTGAACAAAAATATATTCGTATTTACGCTTTTTACAATTGAAAAACACTAAAAGAGTAAAAAAAGGAGAAGAAAATATGTTAACGACAGCAAACCATGCTTGTATGAATGAAAATAATGTTTTTATAAATATGAACCATTTTAAAAAAAATGGTACATAAACTAAACAACACTAAGTACGGTTTTAACACAACATTTTGTTTTTCTCATTTTGTAAAAGTTTATGAATGTGAAGCGTCATTTTAACTTAACTATACTTAATGGAAGTATAAGAGAAAAGTAAAAAGATTTTCCATTTCCACTAAGTTAAAAAACTAACTAAAAACATTATATCCTTTTTGTTAAAATTTTTGACACACGTTGGCTATGGTTAATTGGGCTAAATTTTATATTATGCGTTGTAGAAAGTTACTTCTACAATGATGCATAGTTATGCTGTTTTCATGAAAATATTGTCATGTACTTTATTGACAAAAACGCCTGACTGATATCAAAATATAGTTTGTTTATTTATTTTGAATGATTTTTACGAATGTTTGTTTAAATTTAAAAACTGAAAGGGTTTCTACTAGTTAATAGGTAGGAAAACAGTTCTACTTACATGGAGGTGGGTACGGTGTGGACGGTACTGGCTCTGGAGCCGGGTAGTTCCTGAGGGAGTAGCTGTCATGAGAAAAGGAGGCGGCACTCTCTATCATCGTGGCGGTCGCTCTCCTGTCTTCTGCCGGAGACAGATAGGGAACAGCGGACTGGTGGTGTCCGTCGACATGGTGCCTGGAGGTGGCCGTGTAAGGAGGATAGTTGCACCAGGACTGAGAGAAGCTCTGGTGACATGTGGACACGGCAGGGTCAGAAGAAGATGTTCCCGGCGTCACGGAAGAAGAATACTTGTAGTCGGGCGGGCTCCAAAACAGACTGGACTTTCTGTCCCTTCCGTCTGGGAGATTGTAATAAGTCGGTTGAGCATACTGGTCGAATGCCGGACTCACGTGGTGTCCGTCGACGGGAGAGTAGTTCCAGGGCTGAGATCCGTGATGAGAATGCCTGATGACACCCGGCGCCGGTTCCATGCATTCGTAGCCGAGACGTTTGGCCGGGATGTGCAGGGGTCCCGACTGACTCGTCACCGGGGAAGTGGAGCTGGTGGACGTCGTTGTCACGGGCGTCGAGCTAGGCGAAGTTTTGATCGGCGTGAGCGTCGGAGGAGCCTGGTCCTCGTAAGCGTTGCCGTTCATCATCGCCCACCAGGAGGCCGGCACCCCGGGAGTCCCAGGGTCTCTGAGACAGGCTGTTGCCCCACCGCCGCCATTGTCGTACAAGGGGCCGCCCTCGGCCAGTTCGCCCAGTATGAGAATTGTTGACGAGTTTTTTTACGTCGTGGGTGGAAGGAGCGTTGTCCGCAACGCGACGGCAAAGTACCGAGAACAAAAAGTTAAAGACGGCAACAGATCAGTGCATGTTTTTTTGATGATTATTTTTTTGTCGCTAACTAAAAACCTCCAAGTGACATTCGCGTCTACGTAAATAAAAACGTGTTTTTCTTTGACACACCGATAGGAGGTCTTCACCGTTTGACGGCACCGAACTGACTGATAGCCGAGGGCCGCGACGGCTGTAGCGCCACCTATTCCGCTTTGCCCGCTATCTGTCGCTCCGGCCGTCAACCAGCTACGATCTCTCATTCACCCTCTCGCTCTTTCTTTCCCCTTTCGCATCCCTCTCTTGCTCAACCGTTTTTAATCCAGGCGCTGGAGAACATTGATAACGGATTCCGTCGTTTATCCTACGATCCAGGAAAACAATCCGACCAGAACAAAAAAACCTTTGGGCTACTTTCAATAGATCTGGCCTATTGTGACCCTTCGTGCCTACACCCTTCCTACCTCATAAATCTATCACAACACCAACAGAGAAACCCAACAGTAGAAACGCAAATTTCAAATATAAATATCGCTTATTTTCCGATTCGGATTATTTGATTACAAATCAAAGACCAAACCCCAAATACAATAAAATCCTAATTCCACAAAAAATATAAGAAAAATCAACACCCCACACAAAATAAATCAGTTCAAATATTAATCGACGCGATGAATATACCTTATAAGATGTATGTGAAAATATCATATTTTCACTGTTATTCTTTGTAACCTGCATCTTAAATAAGGGACAATAAAGGATCCTAATAATTAATTACTACTATTAAAATTTAGACAAAGAGACCATTAGTTTAATTATTATGTTTTTCCCTAGGGGCCACTCCCTTCCTTCCTCATCTATCAATCAATACATCCGTAGAGAAATTCAGCGGCGAACATTATGCAGATAGTGTACAAAAGAGAGTGAATAATTTACGTTTATAAATGTATTTATTAAAAATCATTAGTAAATGTTATTTACTGATAATGATTTTAATATATAATTTATATGATATTACAAAAAATAATTATATAAACGATTGATATGTACATCTATGTGCAATCTATTTTTTGGTTAGTTAAATGAAAACATCAATTTTGTTATTAGACAAATAACGTGTACTTCACGATAAATAAACATAAGACAATTTAAGTTAAGATAATATATGTATACTCTGTCATAAAGCACGATTAATTATTTGAAGTACAGTAGTTCACTTTTTAACCGCAAAGGGGGAGACGCCGTTTCGAAGAAAGCAATTTTTCGGGTAACCTATGGAGACTGTTGGCATGAGGTAACATGTGTAAAAAACACATGGTTTCCGATTAAAACCGTACGATCCATGTAGCGTAAAAATATGAAGTACAGTATACTTTTGCCAAAATGTAAACCAAACAAAAAAGCATTAAAAATTTGATTTCAAAAATTTAATTTTAATTTAAAAGCTTAATTTTTCCATGATTAGCTAGCTTCATCGTCTTGCGGTTCTGCATTTTACATCTGCATTCATCAAGTTTAGATATAGATTTTAATCATTTCGTTACTTTTGACATCCCAATACCATAATTAGCAGATAAATTTCCCAATAAAACACCATTTTTTATTGAAACCGTTTCGGTGAACCCAGATTTCGTTTAACTGTGTTCGATTAAAAAGGGTTTTATTGTATTAAAAAATTCTCACACGTTTTCTCCAATTTTTCCTTACTTCATCATACAATTTGAACTGTTGAATAATAAAAAGAGATCAATAAAAAGCGTTCTTATATAGACACATTTTATTAAATTTGAGCAAGATATTGATGCATATGAATAAAATTTTAGATTTCTCGCATTTAAAAAGAAAACAAAATTTAAAAAATCATTTCCACTTTTTTTTGGAAATGTTTTCACCCCTTGATAAAAAATTTCGTGAAATGTTTTTATTTGTCTTATGATTTGACTTCGCTTGTTCAACAACTTTTTTATCTCATTCGCTAATAATCCATTTAATTATCAACTGGGAAATCAATTAGTCGACGCGACCCGGTTATCGTTGGAAGGATTAAAAAACGTTAAATCATCCTAGTGGAATAATTAATTGTTGTTCGTAAAACGATGATTAAAAAAAAAAAAGCAAAACTATACCAGTTGTAAATCAAAGCGTGCTCGAGAAATCAGTTAAGTCTACCTATTGTAATTTTGAAGAAAGAAGACAGATACATACAAGAAAGTAGACAGCGCGATGAGGGTGAGCGGATGAGAAAGTAAGTAAAGCAGCAAACACACGGAAAAAAATCAATTTAATTTATCTTATTATCAAAACTATTTTAAATTATTAAATTAATTAGGAATGACGTTAGATTATAATTTTCACAGGTCGTTGGTAGTCCCAGGTCATATTTCTCTTCTAATAAAAAAGTCTATTTAATTAAACAACGCCTACTGAACAAACTGTATTTGGATTTGTTACATATTATAAGTTCTTTTTTGTTGCTTCATTAAGTAATTTATCATTTATTTATGTATTTAAGCTCCTGTATATTTTGCATTTATCGATAGTCTCAGCCTTTCAATGAAGATAGTTTCAGAGATAATTCTTAATTAGCCTGCTCGCTATAAACAATTTTCCCCTAATTTTTATTGTGGCATTGTAGACGATTGATTAATATGATTATATACCGTTGTGAATTAATTTGTTGCCAAATGTTAACACTATAACGGTCCCACACCAAAATAAGATTCCAACGGATAAAATTGAAATTAAAATATCCACTTTGTAATGGAATAATTATATTGAAAACGGGCGTAAATTAAATGTTTAAAAAAATACAGTGTAGTTAAAAGTAAGGTAATCCCTGTGATATTAGGGGTTCTACCCGTTAGCTGTCGCGGACAAGGGGTCAAAACACTTTACAAGACTTTTATTATTTAACAATTAACCATATACCAGGATTCGAACCTAGAACCGCTAGCGTGTCAAAAAAAAAAAGTCGGAAGCCCTAACCACAATAATATAATATGATAAAACAAATAACAATCAACATTACTAAGCCTACATCCTTTGACAATTTTTTGATAATGTAGATTATTTAATATTTGCCACTGTTTTATGTTTGTGGGATTCTCGTTGAGGTTTGCATAGTGATGAACTTATAGTTGTTCTTTTCTTACCAACCTGGTGTTATTTTTTTATTTTTTATTTTATTTTATTTTATTTTTTTAACGAGGGTTCGTAACAGCAGAGGTCATATCAACCCCCAGGGTGCCGGTGTTTTTGAAGAAAAGCCCATTTGTAAGTATGTCGGGTTCGAATGCAGGGCCGCTGGATTCGAACCCGGGACTTTTACCTTACAGTGATGAGCGCCGTGTCAACGCCTAAACCGTTGCGGCCACCGACGTCCCATCAACCTGGCGTTATTAGACACGCTTCGGCCCTCACCATCTTCAGTAGTATATTGAGGAACCGAAATTTATAATATACAATCTAATCAAAAAAATTATCGGAAATAAATAGAACATAAGTCGACGGATATCTAACAGATTGTTGCAGTATCATATTTTTTTTAATTTATCAGAATTGCTTATTTGATTCTCATGATTTTTCTTTTCTTTTTTATCAGTCGTTTTATAGTTACTAACAACTTCTTTACTCTTAGCTATTGGGTTTTAGCTTTTACGATAATGGTACTATGTATGTAACAATAACATAGTGTAGTTATTGTTACATACATACATCGTTACCGATCATTTTTTGATCTGCCTATCCTCTCTGAATTGCTGTGACAGCAATTTTTGCCAATTTGCCATCTTTTGTGATCGACACACAGTCGCCAAACACTGAAGATCGATAACGACCCAATTACAGGTTCACCACCCCACAGATCACTTGGAGAAGTCTCACAATTTAACAACGTAATGGTTAGACACTCCATGTTAATATTCTAGTGTTAACATTCCCTGAATGTCAAATAAATCACACATAGATTAAATTTTTAATTGATCATCATTAACCGCTATTCTAGAGAAAAAAAATCGTACGAATCTCCAGTTTTTAAAATTGGTGTTTAGCGAACGGCCAGCTAACTTTTAACAAGATAAAAAATTAAATTGGGAAATAATGCTCAAAGGTTATTGTACGATAAATTTAGCTAAAATTTACTAATCTACTTCACAAACGTCACCTGAAAAGATTACTTAAAATATGAATATATATTTTTGTGTAAAAAAATTATTCTTCTGTTCAACAGAGTACAATTTAACCACTAATATATTAACTGATAATTTTAACTTTCAACAAAAGGCAAATTATAACAGTTTTTCTTTTCATAAATTCAAACTGGATGGTTTCATAACGATGTATATACTTTTCTACATAGGCAAATAGAAAATTAGTTGGGCTCCTTGGAAAATTAAGTTGAAATTCCACCGATTTAAGTGTAATAAAGGAATTATTTTTAATCTTGTTACTTATTTTTTGATAACGTGAGTATCCACGTGTTTAACATTGATTATTCTTTTTTTTAAATTGTGTTAGAAAAGAGCCCCACATAGTTTTAGAACAAAAAGATGTGAAGTTTATATTTATTTCTGATCAAGCTTAATCCAGAAATTCATTGTTATGAAAGGAAGCATACATTTCAAAACAGAATCTTGTTTTCATTAAGAAAATTATTTATTATATATTATTTATTATTATGTTTTTTATAATTGTAGTGAGATTTATTTCCCTCAGCTGCCTCTGGACATTCATCCAGTTCCGAAATTTCATTGTTAAGATATTTCACCCCATTTATCATTACGGCGTTACACGCGATTAATTAAAACGACTTAAGTTCGTAACGCATTTATTTTTATTTCCCTACGTGACGAGATTTGTACCGCAGAAGCT